GAAAATTGCTTGAAGAAGAGCAAAACTCCATCTCAACAACAACAAAAAAGAATAATGACATCATAACCACAATAAGATATGACTTCATACCTACTAAGGTGGTTTTAATAAAAACAAAAACCTGGAAAATAAGTGTTGGCAAGGATGTGAAGAAATTGTAAACCTCCTGTTCTGCTGGTGGGAACATAAAATGGTACAGCTTCCATGGAAAACAATGTGGTAGTTCCTCAGAAAGTTAAACATAGGTTTAACTTTGGTTCGACCCTTCTGCTCCTAGGCATATGCCCAGAAAATTTAAAAACAGATATTCAAACAAAACTTGTACATGAATGCTCACAGCAGAACTACTCACAATCATCAAAAGGTGAAAACAACCCAAAAGCCCACCAACTAATGGATGTATAACCAAAATGTGGTACAGCTTATATAATGGATTTTTATTCAGCCATAAAAAGGAGTGAAGTGCTAACGCATGCTACAATATGAATGAACCTCAAAAACACTATGCTAAGTGAAATAAGCTGGACACCATTGGACACATACTGTATGACTCCATTTACATGAAATATCCAGAATAGGAAAATCCATAGAGATAATACATTACTGGTTACCAGGGCCAACAGAGAGGGAGAGAATGAGCAGTGACTGCTATTGGTTACAGGCTTCCTTTATAAGGTATAGACAAGGTTCTGAAATTAGATAATTGTGATGGTTATACAGCATTGTGAATATAATAGAAATCACTGAATAGTGCACTTAATTTTTAAAAATCGTAATAACTACTATTCCACAGCACATTCTCTCTACAAAGCATCATTCTGAGAAGCTAGCTTCACATCCAAGGTCCAATACTTATAAGCTGGATGCCTTTAGGTAAATTAATCTCTCTGTGACTCAGTAATACTATCATCGGTAAAATGCGGATAAGAGTATTTACCTCCACATTTAAGAGAGTTAAATGTGTTAATATTTCATGTTACTTTGCCCTTTGTATATATTAACAGTATATATTGAATAGTAAGAATTAGCTAAGTGTTAGCTATTGTCATTTCAATTAATCCTCACAACAATTCCATGAAGTAGGTACTTTCCATTATTTCTATTTTATAGATGAGAAAACTAAGGCACAAGGAGATTATGGAACCCACCAAGTTAGTTATTTAGCAAGTGGAAAGCAAAGTCAGCAGTCTGACTTCAGGGTCCCTGCTTCTCAGCTGTTGCCATGCTTGACATAAATCTGGTATATCAAACTCTGAAATTAATAGCTATTTTTGCCTTTGATGAGATTTAATTAGGTATTTAAGGTTTTCAAAATGTAGATCAATTTAATTAAGCGTGTTAAGTAAATACCGTCATCTCTGGTACCCAGATACGGCAAAACTTGCAAAGGGACACATGAATGACTCAGGTTTAGAAAACATTGGTAAACCGTGGAAATCTAAGATGTGACAGAACACATCCATACTCTTACCAATATACTAGGTAGGCTACTGCACACCTTGATTAAACCCTGTATGGATTTCTTGTGTGATAACACCCCAGACAAAAATTGTTCGCCAAGTATGAAGCCCAAAGAGAAGAAAGCCTGCAGAACTCAGCAGGAGCCAGCCTTAGGAGGAACTGTCTTGCTTAAAATCAGAAAGGCTGGGGTTATAACCCTTGAAATCTTTTTGAAAGTGAATACAAGGCAGGAGGTCTCATTCATTAGGCACAGTAGGCAAAGCGCCCAAGGCCCACCGCACTTTTAGGAGCCTATGAAAATGTCTTAACTGACTGGGCGTGGTGGCTCACGCTTGTAATCCCAGCACTTTGGGAGGCGAGGAGGCAGGGCGTTAGAGACCAGCCTGGGCTACTTAGCGAGACCTCGTCTCTACTAAAAAACAACAACAAACAAATTTGCAGAGAGCAGCGTCCCTTGTGCCTGTAGTATCAGCTACTCAGGAGGATCGCGATCACTTGAGCTGGGGAGATAAAGGCTGCCCGTCTCTACTAAAAATACAAAAAATTAGCTGGGCACGGTGGTGCGTGCCTGTGGTCCCAGCTACTCAGGAGGCTGAGGCAAGAGAATTGCCTGAACCCAGGAGGCGGAGGTTGGGGTGAGCCGGGATTGCGCCATTGCACTCCAGCCTGGGTAACAAGAGCGAAACTCCGTCTCAAAAAAAAAAAAAAAAAAAAAAGAGGCTGCCGTGAGTCCTGAGGACATCACTGCACTCCAGCCTGGGCGACAGACCAAGACTCTGTCTCAGGAAAAGAAAGAAAAGAAAAGAAAAGAGAAAATACCTCAATTTCCTTTAAAATCATAAGAAAAAAATAATATAATTAATCCCAAATTATATTCACCCTTATACCAACACAGCTGTAAAATATAATTAATTTTTTTATGGAAGAAGGGGCCCAAAGAAGGCAAACGTGCCGAGGGCCCACGAAAGTCAATATGTGGCCCTGACATGAGAATTAGGGTTAGGGTGAGAGTGAAGGTGAGCTTCATGACCTCTCCCTCCTGACCAGGTCTTCCAGACAACCAGCTCAGCAACTAGTGCATGCCACATCTTGTCCTGTTAATATACTCTCCGTGTTGAGCAAACGTGAAGAGGTGGTCTGGGGGAACCCAGCAGTGCTGGATTCCAATCCTGTGGTTTAGGGAGATCCAGCTGAGGCCCTGGAGCAAGGGGAAGAGGCCTGAACTAATGCAAGAGAAGGAGGAGACCCCCTCACACCCAGGAATTGTAAAGACTATGCCTCCCCCAAATGGCACCTCCTCCTGTTCCTACCTGAAATCCCCTTATTTACTCCTTTGAATTAAGACAGCAGTAACAGAGTGAAAAGTGTACACATTCTGTAGTTAAAACTCGCTTGTATTGCCATTGGCAAGCTGCCTGGCTCCTTGGGGCCCAGTCTTCTGTATTTAAAAAAACTGGAGGATGTTAATGATGGTTATCAAGGTGAAAGTAAGATAAATCGTGTACAGTGGCAAGCATAGGGCCCATTATTAACAGGGTTTTTATTTATATTTATATATTTTTTCATTTTTATTTATTTATTTATTTGTTTATTTTTTGAGATAGAGTCTCCCTCTGTCGCTGGTCGCCAAGCTGGAGTGCAGTGGCGCGATCTCAACTCACTGCAACCTCCGCCTCCCGGGTTCAAGCAATTCTCCTGCCTCAGCCTCCCGAGTAGCTGGGACCACCCAGCTAATTTTTGTATTTTTTAGTAGAGACGGGGTTTCACCATGGTCTCGATCTCTTGACCTCGTGAGCTGCCCGCCTTGGCCTCACAAAGTGCTGGGATTACAGGCGTGAGCCACCGCGCCTGGCCCTTACTTATTTATTTTTGACACAGGGTCTACTGTCGTCCAGGCTGGCATGCAGTATCCTGATTATGGCTCACTTCAGCCCTGACCTCCCAGACTCAAGCCATCCTCCCACCTCAGGCCAGAGTTATTTTCGTAATATTAAGGATGCTAACACGTCCTGGAAAACCTGCAAACACTTCTTGGGGGGAGAACCATACAGCCTTCAATCATAGCCCAAGCATTTTAAATTTGATACATCACCGGGGAGCAAGAACTCAGTAAGATAGTTCTAGGAAAGGGGAGGGAAGAAGGAAGAAGTGGTAGTAAGCAAGGCGGGAACTCTCCCAGGTCTACAGCACAAGCCTGGGGAAATACCCGCAATTTAGGAGACTGCAGAATGGGCTTCTGCAAAACGCGCTGCAAGCCTGTAACCCCAGCACTTTGGGAGGCCAAGGCGGGCGGATCACAAGTTCAGGAGTTTGAGACCAGCCTGACCAACATGGTGAAACCCCGTCTCTACTAAAAATACAAAACTTAGCCGGTGGCACGTGCCTGTAATCCCAGCTGCTCAGGAGGCTGAGGCAGGAGAATCGCTTGAACCCGGGAGGCAGAGGTTGTAGTGAGCGCAGCTGGCACCACTGCACTCCAGCCTGGACGACAGAAAAAAAAAAAAAAGAAGAAGCGCAGCAAGTGCGGCGCATCAAAATACGGCACCGCCCCCCCCACCCCCAGTAGTGTAAACGTTCTCGGATGCACTATGCACTTAGCAGATTTCTATACTTGCACTCTGACATGAGTTCAGGACTAAAAATCTTAAGTCCTTGGAGCTTTCTCAAAAAGCACGTTGGATTTCTTGCAGCGTGTACCTGAGCAAGGGACTGCTCTTCAAATCCAGCCCCAAATTCCCTCTCCCAGAATGCACGGTGGGTTCTGAATTCAAAAACCCAGAGCAAACAGTCTTCTAGCCAATCATTGCACTGTATCACTATCCTGACTTTGGCGGGAACTGTGCAGAACTAGATAGTCCTATCCATTTGTCACCAATTTCTAGCAGGGGAAAGTCGTGCTCAGAACCCAATCGCATGGTAGACTAACAAGTTCACTTTCGCATGTTTGGGCTGCTGTACGCTCCGCGCTTTCCTCAACGCCATCTCTGGGTCTTTCCCGTGGGGAGGGCAAAGGTCACCGCTCCAGGCACGTGCGGCAATGTAGCGAGTTGGGCTGAGGAACACTGCCAAAATACCTCCCCACGGGCTGGTGTGCGTTCTCGCCCCACCCCCGCCCCCTCTCGCCCCTCCCCCGCCCCCTCGCTCCCCCCCCCCGCGCCCCCCTCGCCCCCCTCGCCCCCCCCCCCCCCGCCCCCTCGCCCCCTCGCCCCCTCGCCCCGTCGCCCCCAAATCGGCTTTCACAACCCAGCCGCTTTTTCAATCCGTGTCTCCGGTCAGGTTGGGAGTAGTTAAGCCACAACTTGGAGCTACCGTTCCCGTGCAACATGCACACAACCCCCACCACGCTCGCCCTATTTTTTGCACACTCTGGCCACGAATGCGTCCCCTTGGGGTCGCACTTACAACTAGATGTACCGTGAATGCTAATAGGGGGCGTTTAACCGACGCATGTGCGCACGCTTTGAACCTGTGGAAGGCACTGTACCGCTCGCTATATAAGAGCGCGCCAAGTGCCAGACAGCGCCAGAAGAGGTCCCGGCGCCAGAGAAGCGGTCGTCCGAGCCATTAGCCCCAGTTGCAACCCCGGATCGCCGCGGAACCCCGCGCGGAGTCTGCAGAAGCGCACGGCTTCATCGACAGCACTTGAGAATGGAGTTTCGTCGCGGGTGTACCCACAGTGATACCGGCTACCGCAGCCTGGTAGTCGGCGAGGACACCGAGGAGAATGGTTAGTGCTTCGACAGGGGCCGGTGCTTTCGCGAACTCCAAAAGAGGAACTTTTCCCTGGGAAAGGCGAGCGGATGGGACGCGGCGTGGCTATCACAGTTGCTCTTCGATAGCGGCTCCCCCGCCTCCTCCAGCCCACGCGCCTTGGGTTCCAACCCCCTGGTGTCTGTCTCTCTTTTGCTTTCCTCCCTTCCCAGGTGAGAAACTTACTGTTACCTTGCTGATGGCAGTGGGAGGAGAGGACGAGGAGTATGCATGCTCCGAACCTGAGTACAGAGCAGAAGCAGAAAACATCCTTGGCACGGAAGGGTCCGTCCCCTCAGACGACCAAAATGGTGAAGGTGGCTACCGCCACCAGCCGGAGCAACCTCAGGAGGAGCCGCCCCAAGCGGCCGCGGAGGGGCCACAGCCGGAGGAGGGGCCACAGGCCGCGGAGGGGCCACAGCTGGCGGAGGGGCCACAGGCCGCGGAGGGGCCACAGCTCCCAGAGAGGAGACGCCGCCGCCGCCGCACCAGGTTCACCCAGTTTCAGCTGCAGGAGCTGGAGAACTTTTTCCAAGAAGTTCAATACCCCGACATTGCGACGCGGTAAGTGGCTTGCCCGGCAGGCGCCCAGTTCATCCCTGGACCCGCTTCTCTCTCCTCTGGAGCCTAAAGCCGCGTGAGGGGCTCAAGGGCGCTGGGTCCGCCCTTGCTTTCTGGGGGGCATGGGGGGAGGGGCGCGGAGGATGTAAAAAAGTGGGGCGGTACTAGTGTAAAGCGAGTGAGGCAGGGTCGGATCCTGACTTTAAAATTTTGGCAATTTGCTCATTATGGGTTGTTTCTGCATTAATATTAAAGTTTTAATATTGCATGAAAATATCATTTGTCTTGATTATTAAGTTGTTACGCGCCATTTAGATTTTGCGCGCGTGGCGAGCGCCTCGCTCTCTTCTCCCTAGTAACCGCCCAGCCACGTGGAGCTCACTTTTACAACCAGAGGGCGAACTTTTGAGCTTTCGGTAGTCAGCGACCCCTTTCCGTCGCTAGCCTCACCGGACCCTCGTCTTACCGATCCCGGTAGTGTACGAAGGGGCAGGCCTTTTCTGGCCAGGCTGGAATGCGGGTCGGGGGCACCAAGACAGGTCAGAGTAGGGTTTCGGGGACCTTTCTGGCTTCGTCGTATTTAGCCTTCGACCGGCAGAGAGCAAAACAGAATTTACCCGAGGGCGCGCTTGGCCGATGTGGTTTGGAGTTCGCTCCTTGAGGGTTCACCTCTCCCTTTTACAATAAACAGAAATACTGTGGTTCAATACAGCGCTTTAAAGATGTTTGGCATTTCATTTATTTTCACGGACGGACCGCCCAAGGAAAGATTTCCAGGGTTGTTCTCTGCTGTTTCATAAACAGAAGAATTAAGTCATATTCAGCTAACCATCGGGCACTTTTCCATATATTCCCCTTTTCTATCTTATTTAACAGCAAAGTTGTTCATGGGAAAACCCTTTCTAAAGTGAGCCCCAACCGTATTACAGAAAACTGCACGGAGAGGTGGGGGATAGAAATGTGCAAATTTACATATATATATATATATATATATATATATATATAAATTTGAGACAGAGCCTCACTCTGTCACCCAGGCTGGAGTGCAGAGGCACTATCTCTGCTCACTGCAACCTCCGCCTCCCGGGTTCAAGCGATTCTCCTGCCTCAGCCTCCCAAGTAGCTGGGATTACAGGCATGCGCCACCATGCCGGCCTAATTTTTGCATTTTTAGTAGAGACGGGGTTTCGCCATGTTGGCTAGACTGGTCTGAACTCCTGACCTCAGGTGATCCGCCCGCCTCGGCCTCCCAAAGTGCTGGGATTACAGGCGTGAGCCACCGCACCCGATCACATTAATATATTTCATTTTATTCACAACTCCAAATACTGAACATTTGTAATTTTTTCCCCTCAGGGAGATACTTGCAGGACACCTGGATTTGGCTGAAGATAGAGTGCAGGTCAGTATATCTTGAAAAAGCAATTTGGCAGGACAGCCATTCTAAAGCATGCCTTAGGTTTTGTCCTGGACATTCTCAAGTTGGTGTTTTTTGTTGTCTTTTTTATGGCTGGCAAATAAGTTCTGAACAGTGGGTGCCTTAGTGGTAGAAAATAGGATAAGTAAACTCCAGATTATGGAAATTGCTCATAAGCAGAGGAAATATGATTTCCTAAAGGGAAAAATATATAACTTTGTCTTCTTTCTTCTACATCTGTTTATATCTGTCTCTCTCTCTCTTTCTATATATAATAGTGCATGCACATGTATATGTACATATACACATTTACATACACATATATGCATATACATACACATACATATGTAAATATATTCCAATAAATAAGATTGACCTCCTTCTAACACTGGTATCCTCTAGGGAGAATGTTAGTTTTCCCTAAAGGATTACCTCTATCTGGAGTCATTTTCGGGACTCAATCTGACCTGGGAAGTATTCAAATTAATGCACAGAAGAGCTGAGTTTTATAAGAAGGTTCAACTGTACTAAATTATTTAAAATATTTAAAACCAAGCACAAGTACTTAGCTAATGAGTGAATTTCTATTTAAGCATTGGGGTGAAGGAGGAGCAATTCACACACAGAACACAGTACTTAGTAGAGAGTGGTAGCCCTAAATTTAAATTTTTTGGAAGATTTTGATGTCAGCCTGAAAACATTGCAAACATATTGCAATTAAGTGGTAATGGGGAAAACATTTGTAAGCTTTGGAAAACTGTCTTTAAAAAATGAAACAAAATTAGCTGGGCACGTCTATAATCCCAGCTACCCAGGGACTGAGGCAGGAGAATCGCTGTAACCCAGGAGACGGAGGTTGTGGTGAGCTGAGATCACGCTATTGCACTCCAGCCTGGGCAACAAGAGCGAAACTCCTTCTCAAAAAAAAAAAGAGAGAGAGAGAGAGAGAAAGATTTTTGAATAACGTCCCCCGACCTAAGAAGGGTGGAAAGGTTAGAGGAGAATTGTATACAGTCAAACATATGCATTGCAGATGTCACACAAATTAAACTTTATGGAACTACCAAACGCGTAAGAGAGTGTTTGCTTTTTTGTAAACATCTTAGAAAAACGTCTTAGATGTTTATCCTTTTTGGTGATGTTATTTTGAAAAGTTGGCTTTTCTGGAATTTGATTGATTAAGGGGTTCTCTCAATTCAGGCTATATTCTTACCTGTGTTTATTTAAAATACCTTTTTCATTTACTCACGCAGTGACAACTAATTATGCAGGTCATAGGATCAAAAGGTGACTATTTGAAATTACAGAAAATCGTAGCTGCATCAAGGAAGTATTTGCCAAAAAAATAAAAATAAAAATTAGAATGGGCTTGTTAGCTTTGCGTCAAGGTTTGTGTGTGAGTGCAGTGACGGAAATGCACTGCATGTCTGTGGTGGTGTCTGGAAAAGCAGCCCAACAAAGCAGACCACTGAAAGTCGGAGTCTTGATGCCACAGGCCTAGCCTCAGGTTGGGATGCATGACGTATTCTCTGCCTCCTTAGGCAAGCAAGGTAAACTCAGAGGAAAAGAAAAAGGGTTTCCAGAGTTGCTTTTTCCCCCTCTCTGGGTTTACATAGGCCTCTCAATGGATTTTTTAAGGCAAGAGCAGAAAAATACAAAGAAGGAAAAAAGACAATGTTCTCATCTATTTCCAAATTCTATAGCATGAATTTCCCCCAGGACACTTTTAATAGACACTCCCCCTTTTTCCTTTGAAAATATAGTAGACCTGTTTTATGAAATTAGTATTGGATACAGACTCTATATGGGCCCATACCAAAATTTGCTGTTTGTTGGCTTTGGTTATGTTTAGACAGGGGTGACCCACTAGCATATTTGAGCCCCCCCAAGATGTTTCAGCAATAAGAAATAGCTTCACCTGTTGCAGTTTAAAGTCTCAGTGGCATATAGAATTGCAAGTTATGTTTTTTCTCTTATGACGTTAACTGTTCAATACACTAAGCCAATTCATTTTTCCCCTCTGAAGATTTGGTTTCAGAACAGAAGGGCCAAGTGGAGACGAAATCAGAGGATGCTAATGAGAAACATGGCTGCTGCCCCCCCGGACCCCCCTGTGGAGGTGATCTTGGGTGCGCCCCCTGATGCCGTTCCTGTTCTGGATCCTGCTTGGTGTGTTCATCTGGCACCACAACCACCTAGACCACCTGTGGCACCTGTGCCACCCATGGCACCTATGCCAGCCGGGCCACCCATGGCAGATGGAGCACCCATGGCACCTATGCCACCTGGGCCACCTGTGGTGCCTATGCCACCTGGGGCACCCATGCCTCACATTGGCCTGGCTCCTGTAGGCATCGCATGGGCCCCTGTCATCAATGGTTATTATGTAGATCCCTTTGTCTAAAGTAAGGTCTTCATGACAGTTTTTCCAAAGTTCTTTCCTGCCAGATAGAAATTGTGCACAGCACAGCATTATTTTGTTAGACAGTTGTTGAATGAATTGGATAGATGACCAAAGTTAATGAATGCACTGTTGTTTTTGTAGGCTGCATGACCATAGTATTTTCAATAAAGATGTGACTTCATGGTTTTGGTTTTGGATGCCAAGTGGGGTCAGTAGAATATGGATGAGAATTGCTTAGGGAATGCAATTTGAATACAACGGTGAAGAGGCCTCTTCTCATCAGATAATATCTCTGAGTCACCATCAATATGCCCTGCACATCACAGAGTTTGCCAAGTGCCCATGATGGGTTTACACTGACCCACACCCCGTCCTTAACCCCACCCTCCCCATTGGGAACATATAAATGTGCAGGATGGGAAGAAGTGAGTCTAGGGAGAGAACAGTGCATTTCCAGGAAGGGCCACTTTGCAGCCATGCTAAAGAGCTCAGGCTAAAACATGGACTGTAAGAGAAACTTACTAAGATACTACTCACAGGGCCTTGAGGGAACGGGACAGCCAAATACGAATCTAGTACTCTCCAAATTCTGCTCACTACCCTTTTTCTTTTCTTTCTTTCCTTTTTTTTTTTTTTTTTTTTTGAGACAGGTCTTGCTCTGTCGCCCAAGCTGGAGGGCAGTTACATGATCATAGCTCATTACACCCTCCATCTCCTAGGCTCAAGACTCAAGCGATCCTCCTGCCTCAGCCTCCTCAGAGCTGGAACTACAGGTGCACCACCAAGCCTGGCTAATTTCTGTTGTATATTTTGTAGAGATAGGGGTCTTGCTGCAAATGCCCAGGCTGTTCTCAAGCTCCCGTTCTTGAGCAATCCTCCTGCCTCCACCCTCCCAAAGTGCTGGGATTATAGGTATGAGCCACTGCACCCAGCCTGCCTTCCACTTTGTGGAGGAGATAGAGGAATAAGAACTATTCTGATCCAGACGTTCTGCAACTTCAAAGGAAACACAAAAAAGGGGCTCCATCAAGACCAGAAAGAGGTGCTCTCTCTTTTCTCCACTACTAGGCCAGGAGAACCTATTACTGTAGCTTCTCCAGCTAAGAAGTGGACAGTCACACCTTCCAGTATATTTTTCACCTTCAGCATCTTTGACAGAATCCTGGTTCCTGCCAAGTAAATTGAAAGGGAACCTTTTGGTTTAGTGTTGTTCAAACCAAGAGATGGTCCCTGAGCAATGTTCCAGAATAATCATTCATTGAAAAGAAACGTTCAGACCTTTGCTGTGTCTGTACTGTCTTTATGCAAATCTGCCTGGGTAGGAAACAACAAAAACCAAAATGGGCGGGGAGGGGGGGAAATGAGGCCAGCCCACTAGTTTTTAAACCTTGAACTTTTTCGTAGAACCTTTACTTTTGAGCTATCTCTAGCCATTTGTAGTAATTTTATCAACACATCTCATGCTATGAAATGATTGCAATGGCTTCAGAGTGTCATAGTTATACCAGAATTTCTTCTCATAGGAGGTGGGCTGGAGGGGGTATCAAAGACAAGTTTCACAGTAGTTACATGCCCCCATTTTGAAGGGCAGCTCTGTTTTCTCAGGAAAGCACACTTTTTTTGAAGGGTTGCCTGGTACTTTTTTTTTTTAGATAGTTTTGCTTTTGTCGCCCAGGCTGGAGTGCAGAGGTGTGACCTCGGTTCACTGCAACTTCCGCCTCCCAGGCTTAAGCGATTCTCCTGCCTCAGCCTCTGGAATAGCTGGGACTACAGGTGCCTGCAACCATGTCCAGCTAATTTTTTGTATTTTTAGTAGAGATGGGGTTTCATCATGTTGGCCAGGCTGGTCTCAAACTCCTGACCTCAGGTGATCCACCTGCATCGGCCCCCGCAAAGTGTTGGAATTACAGGCATGATCCATCGCACCTGGCCTGCCTGATACATTTTATTCCTTTCTTCTTTCCCTTCACACATATGGATGTCAAGCATCAGCAAAGCAGTTAGGGTCTTAGATTAGATTATATCTAAGATTTCTGCAGGAAGGAGGTCGTTACCACCCCAGAGGTCCCAGTCTCTGATGGGAGTGAGGAATATCCAGGAATGCATCTGTGATGCCCATTGCCATCCTCACTGGGTGATTTTGAAACTCAGCCTTTCTTATTTCCCATTGTTGAACTTTTCCCTTTTGTTAATATCAGGTTTCTCAATGCTTTACGTCCTCTTGGAGCTACAGGATCTGTAGAAATAAAGGTGTCAATGCCCCATCCAGCCTTGCCACCCCGAGACTCAAAGCCAAACAGCATCCAGCACACAAATCTCACAGTTAATTCATATCCAATCTGACACACATACACGTAGAACATTTTTTTCATCTCAGGTAGCCTGGAAGAAGCAAAAATGTGAATATCTTTTTGCATACGTGAATAGGGTCTTTGAAAGACATTTATACTATTTTCAAGTCATATCTACTTCTTCCAGGCTCCAGATGATTTAAGGAGGGATAGTGGGATGGGGACAGGAAATGTGCAAAACGTTCCTGCAGATAAAAACTTCCTCTTAGCCAGGCATGGTGGCTCACACCTGCAATCCTAGCACTTTGGGAGGACGAGGTGGAAGGATCGCTTGAGCCCAGGAGTTAGAGACCAGCCTCTATAACATAAAGATCCCATCTCTACAAAAAAAAATTTAATTTAACTAAGTATGTTGGCACATACCTATAGTCCCAGCTACTCAGTAGGATAACATGGGAGGATCGCTTGAGCCTGGGAGGTTGGGGCTGCAGTGAGCTGTGATCGAAGCACGGCACTCCAGCTTGGATGACAGTCTAGGTTTTAAAACGAAGAGGTCTACAATACTCTCAGAAAAAGCATCTCTCTCTCTCTCTTTAGGGATAGGGTCTCACTCTGTACCTAGGACTGCAAATCCATGTCACCACACCAGGTTAATTTGTTTCGTTTTGTTTGAGATGGAGTTTTTTTGCTTTTGTCACCCAGGCTGGAGTGCAATAGCGGGATCTCAGCTCACTGCAACCTCCACCTCCCAGGTTCAAGCAATTCTCCTGCCTCAGCCTCCAAAGTAGCTGGGATTACAGGCATGTGCCACCACTCCCGGCTAATTTTTGTATTTTTTAGCAGAGACAGGGTTTCACCATGTTGGACAGGCTGGTCTTGAACTCCTGACCTCCAGGGAACCGTCCACCTCAGCCTCCCAAAGTGCTGGGATTACAGACGTGAGGCACCACACCTGGCCTACTAATTTGTTTTTTGAAATTTTTTTGTCAAGATGAGGTCGCACTCTGTTGCCCAGGCTGGTCTCAAACTCCTGACATCAAGCAATCCTTCCACCTTAACCTCCCAAAGTTTTGTGATCAGTGCATCAGCCACCGTGCCTGGCTCTTAAACAGCATTTCTCTTAAAGTTCATTTCAAATTCCCTAAGGCATGGGTAAGAATTATTGTAATATAAGGAAATTAATTTATAAAAAGTGTTTAGAAATTGGCTCTCAGCAAATAATGTTTACCTCTGATAGATAGTCTTCGCAGATATTAGTTTTGGCTGAAAAGTTATGAAAGTGATCTCAGGAAGGGTGCAGGAGCTTCAGCACTGTACAATAATCTAATAATTCTGGATATGCTCTTGTTTTCTAAAGTTGCTTCACATTGAAGAACATATGCCAAGGAGCTTTCACAATAGTAATTTTTATGGTCAAATTAAGCAGGGAGAAGGTGAGCTATTTGGGGGGACAAGAAGCCTCTGATTAAAACTAGATTTATATAACTTGGATCTGGTTTCAAATAGATGTCATCAGAACTTAGAGATATAACTTGGAGGTAGCTGAGAATCAGAATTCTAAGCCATTACTAGGACTACAAGTACTTAGAAAAAAAAGGGCAATGAAGGAAGGGACTAGAAATTCTTTAGCTGAGAATACAAGGGTCTCCCTTGAGATAGGTGTGAAAGGTGGCTTCTTAAAGGGAGCAATTACTGTAAATATATACAAAATAGGAGAACAGAGTTTGATTTGACTTTTTTCAAAAGAACAGACATTTCCCTGAATTCTGATCATGGGGTATTATATTTAAAATTGGGCATGCTTTGAGCATATAAGGATGTATTGTTTTTCTACCCAGTCATTGGGAGCTGGTAGCTCTAGGAATTGTTGAAAACATGAAGGTAAAATATGGTGCTTAAATAGAATCCTGGCCAGATGTAGCAGTTCACATCTATAATTTCAACACTTTGGGAGGCTGAGGCCAGAGGATCGCTTGAAGTCAAGAGTTTGAGACTCTCCTGGGTAACATAGCAAGACTCTGTTTCTACAAATTAAAAAAAAAAAATTTCCTGTAGGCCCAGCTACTTGGAAGATTGAAGCAGGAGGATGGATTGAGCTCAAGAGTTTCAGGCTGCAATGAGCTATGATTACACCATTGCACTCCAGCCTGGGCAACACAGCAAGACCCAGTCTCTGAAAATAAATGAATAAAATTTGAGTTATTTACTGGATTTCCTAATTGATAAGTCCAACTTTGTCTAGTTCAAATTTCTGTAGCCCAGGGACTCCTACTGATGGAAGTAGGGGAGTCAGTTAGTACAAAGTGGTGCCTAGACCTTGGAGCAGGGCTCTCAAACCTTGAGTGGGGGCTGTCTGGAGGCAGTAGATATCATAGCATGACCCTCATCACACACTCCTCTTCCTGAAAATGCTGATGAAATTGAGGGGATTCATCTGAGAGCTTCCTAATGCTCCCTTCCAATTAGTCAAGGCAGTAGGGTGACCGAAAGAGAATGAACCCTTTGCCTCAGACAGCTCCTTTTTCCTAGCAGGCACTTTCTCATATTCCTTTGCAAGTGAGATGAACATTCATGAGTTCTGCAGTAAAGTATGGTAACCACAGGGAACCAATCCTGTCATTTCCTGCCACTCTTCCGAGGAATGAGCCTTTCTCTTTCTAGGGGACATGCAATTTAAAGGAAGAGACCATGGCATTCTTTTTGAGCTGAAGGGGGCTTTCACAGCCATCCAATGCACTCTCTCCATTTTACAGATGAGGGGATGCAGGCCTGGCACAGTGGAATGGTCTGCCTGAGATAGCATCCGGAGTTCATCCCAGAGAAGGCCAGCTTCTGTATGGCCATGGCCTCCCCTGGTGCCCAGGATTGCCCAGATAGG